TCTACTTCTGGTCCAGCTCTCTGCTGTGGCCTGGGAGAGCAGAAGATGCCCAAGTACTTGAGCCCTTGCACCCACGAGAAAGACCTGGCTCCCGGCTTCAGATCAGCACAGCTCCGGCCACTGCGGCCAATTGGGGAGTGAACCAGTGGATGCAAGACCTCTCTCTGCCTCTCCTCTCTCTGTGACTCTGACTTTCAAATAAATACATAAATCTTTTTTTTTTAAAAAGATTTATTCATTTGAAAGTCAAAGTTACACAGAGAGGAGAAGCAGAGAGAGAAAGTCTTCCATCCGTTGGTTCACTCCCCACATAGCGGCAATGGCTGGAGCTGTGATCTGAAGCCAGGAGCCAGGAGCTTCTTCCGGGTCTCCCACTTGGGTGCAGGGGCCCAAGCACTTGGGCCATCTTCCACTGCTTTCCCAGGCCACAGCAGAGAGCTGGATCGGAAGTGGAGCAGCCAGGTCTCGAACTGGCACCCATATGGGATGCCAGCGCTTCTGGCCAGGGTGTTAACCTGCTGCACCACAGCGCCGGCCCCAAATAAATACATAAATCTTTAAAAAAGAGAGAGACAAATGTCATGTATTTGAAAACACAAAACTGGGGCTAATGAGGAAGGTCAGGGCAGAAGCGGTCTGGACAGCCCCTGGCTGGCGCTTGTGAACCTCGCCCTCCTCTCTGCTGCTTTCCCAGCCTGCGGGGCTGGCCCCCGCAGGTGTCCCTCGTGTGGTCTGCGGTTCTAACGGCCCCTCCATTCACCCCTCACCCTTCCCAAGACATCATCCTGCGGCGGGACAGGACGGTGCAGCTGGCCCCGGCTCACAAACCGCCAGTACTTTCTAAGGACGCACTTGTTTCAAAGGCAGTTACAGAGAGAGGGAGAGAGATCTTCACACACACACCCGAAGAGGCTGCACTGGCCAGGCCTAAGCCAGGAGCTCCATCCGGGCCTCCCACGTGGGTGCAGGCTCCGGCACCTGGGGCGCCCTCTGCTGCCTCCCCCGGCGCATTAGCAGGAGCTGGACCGGAAGTGGAGCAGCCGGGACTCGAACGCTCGTAGGGGATGAGCCCACTGCGCCGGGGCAGCCCCACGCGGCCGTTCTAAGGCCCTGATGAGCCTGACGCAGCTTCGGCGCTCCAGTGCCCAGCACCGACGTCCACACGCGGCCGCGCGGCGGAGCTGCGGCTTTACGCTGAGCTGAGCTTCATGCACACAGCTCGACACGGAGAGACAGAGCGAAATGGGCCAGGCCGGAACCAGAGGCCGGCACTCCGTCCCCCCCTGCGGGGCAGGGGCCCAAGCACGTGGGCCTTCGCTGCTGCACCAGCACTGGAGCAGCCGGGGCTCGAACCAGCGCCACTGCACGGGGCGGAGGCCTGACCGCAGCAGCTGTAACCCGCTGCCCCTCAGCACAACGCCGGCCTCTGCTCACAGCTTCTTCCAAAACCACCACGGCCCCGCCCAGCCACGCTCCGCACCCAAGGACGCCCCTCCAACGGGACCCCCAAGCCGCAGGGCTTCCGCTCTGCCCCCCGCCCCGGCTGAGGCCCCCACAGGACGGGGCCTCACGACCCGCCAGCTTCGCCTCGGCCAGGCCGACGCGGCTGCGGCCGACCGGGCGCCTGCCCCGGGGCCGACCGCGCAGGAAGCCCGGCCTGGCTCCCTGCCTGCACCGCCCCAGGCGCCGGGGCCTCCGGCTGACTCGGGGGGAAGTCTCCGTCCTGGTCCCGCTGGGCTCCGTGCGAGGGGAAACAACCCGACCGCCCGCTGACCAACCCGTGCCCGCTCCGGCTCGGGATACCCGGAAGTCTCGTCGCTGCGCGGGGGACGCCGGGAAGTCGACTGGGCCGCTTCCGGCCCGCAGAGGCTGCCGGGCAGGAGGTCGCGCTGTCTCTGGTGTGCGCCTGCGCGGTCTGCGGGCCCTGCGGTCCGGGTTTGGGTTTTCCAGATCAGAGCTGGACCCTGGTGGAGCGGGGCTTCTCTGCGCCCCCAGACCCCTTCCGCCGCCCCTCTGCCGAGCAATACCCGGGAGAGGAGGAAGCGTGGCCCCGTTGTCCTTGGCGCCGAGAGGCCGGGCGGCTGCGCCCGGGGTCTCCCCTCGGGTCCCCGCCGAGTATTGGCTTGGGTCTGCCGCCCCCTCGCGGCCGTGCGAGGGATGGCGCGTGCAGTGTGCGCGCTCGGACGCAGGGGTGCGGTGGAGCTGCTAAGCTGACACTAGGTTTTCAGGAATTTTTCCCGAGAGGAATATCACAGGCAGCATCGGACACGACTCAGTAAACGGACAAGAACATTAAAAGCAACAGTAGAAGATGCAGCACACTCATCCCTTCCTGTGGGCTGGGAGTTGTAACGTGCACTGTGTCCGTTATTACACGGCTGCATCGATCCAGCCCCGCTCCGTGGCGTCACGTTGGCCTGCAGTCGGCCGTGGCGGGAACATTACCCCACCGGCCCTGGCAAAGGCAAGAACCAGGGCTGTGCCTCCCCGCACACCCCGGAGTCACGGCAGCCACAGAGGGAGAGAGCGGGCCCCGGGGAGCCCGGGGAGCACCTGTCTCCCTGTTTGTCCAGGGCCAGCACAGGAGGGACGCGGCAAATTAGGGGCTAAACTGGGCTCTCAGGTTCAAGTCATGTTGCCCAACTTACCGGAAAAATCATCGGGCCCTTGTCACTCGCCACCGGACAGCCGATTCACCAGTCGGTAAGAGGCAAGGGTTCGTTTCAAGAAGCTGCCGGCGGCAGTCGTGGGGGAGAGAGTGACCTTTGGATCTGAAATAAGCTCGTTGCCTCCCAGGAAGCCAGCAAGAGAGGCTTTTAGAGGGACGGGGTGGCTGCAGGTGGAGGCTGCGTCTCCGCCCCTCAGCTGGGTGTGAGGTCGGCCTCTCCAAGCCCCCTCCTTCCACGGGCTCCGGGAACCACCGTGCAGACAGCACTCACCCGGCCCCTGTCGGCCAAGTACGGACAGGAAAGGAAAGGGCCTGCCCGGGGCTCACGCAGCTGCCCCGGCGGTGCCCCTGGCCTGCGCTGTTTCTCGCTCTCGCTCCTGTGGGCGGAGGGTGAGGGTGAGGGGGTCCAGCTCATCTGTGGTTGAGAGGCAGGCGTCTGTGTGGGGGACAGGATGCGGGCGGGGACAGACAGACACCGGGGGACCAGGAGCTGGTGCAGCACCTACCCACGTGGGTGCTGGTTAGGGAAGGGCGGGGCTGACAGGCCCCAGGGCGCTCAGGCTTCTGGGGCAGGAGACGGTCAACAGGGAGCCTGGACTGAGATGGACGCGTTGGGAAGGAGGCAGCTGCGGGTGTGGGCGACTCATCCTGCCAGGCAGCAGCAAGGAAGCCGGATCCCAGCCCCGCGAGCTCGGCGGGGACCCCCAGGAGGGCGGGGTCTGGGAAAGGCCACTGGGGGGCTGGGGGTGCTGGGACTCTCACCACCGGGACAGCCGGGGTGCTCAGCTGTGCGCCCCCGAGAGCCTGGGCCACGGGGACTTGGCCAGTGTCCACTCCCCTGCCGGCTTGAGCTCCGTGTCTCTAGCGACGCCGAGTCCCGACTGTCCCCCCTGTCAGCCATGCGGTCGGGAAGGATGCCACGTCCCCCGGCGGCTGAGGTCTCCCCATCCTGTCCCCAGGCCTCGCTGACCTGCGTGCCCCGCTCAGACTCACCTCCCCTGCCCCTCCCTCCCTCCCTCCCTCCCTGTCTCTCTCTCTCTCTCTCACACACACACATACACATACATGCACACACACAAACACACATACACATACACACATACATACACATACACATACGCATACACATACACACGCACATACACGCAATACACACATACACACATGCACATAAACACACATACACATGCACACACACAAACACATGCACACACACAAACACACATGCACATACACACATATACACATGCACACACACATACACATGCACACACACACATATATACACATACACACATACACACACATATATACACATACACACATGCACATACACATATGCACATACATACACACGTATACATACACACATACACATATACACACATACACACATACACACATACACACACATACACATACACACATGCACATACACATATGCACATACATACACACGTATACATACACACATACACATATACACACATATACACACATACACACATGCACACACATACACACACATGTGAGGATTTCCACTTTGGAAAGCTTTAGTATTTATTTATTTGAAAGGCAGGGTGACCGGGAGGGAGATATAAAGACAGACATAGACAGACATGGACGTAGACATTATAGACATATAGACATAGACAGACATGAGACATAGACAGAGACAGACATAGACAAGGAGATATTTTGGGGCCGGCACTGTGGCTCAGCGGGTAAAGCCGCTGCCTGCAGTACTGGCATCCCATATGGGCGCCGGCTCTAGTCCCAGCTGCTCCACTTCTGATCCAGCTCTCTGCTGTGGCCTGGGAAGGCAGTAGAGGATGGCCCAAGTGCTTGGGCCCCTGCACCCGTGTGGGAGACCCAGAACTCCTGGCTTCAGATCAGCTCCGGCCATTGCAGCCATCTGGGGAGTGGGCCAGCAGATGGAAGACCTCTCTCTCTGTCTCTGCCTTTCTTTTTTTCTTTTTTTTTTTTTTTTTTTTTTTTTTTTTTTTTTGACAGGCAGAGTGGACAGTGAGAGAGAGAGACATAGAGAAAGGTCTTCCTTTGCCATTGGTTCACCCTCCAATGGCCGCCGCGGCTGGCGCACCGCGCTGATCCGATGGCAGGAGCCAGGAGCCAGGTGCTTTTCCTGGTCTCCCATGGGGTGCAGGGCCCAAGCACCTGGGCCATCCTCCACTGCACTCCCTGGCCATAGCAGAGAGCTGGCCTGGAAGAGGGGCAACTGGGACTAGAACTAGGCGCCACTAGGCGGAGGATTAGCCTAGTGAGCCGCGGCGCCAGCATGTCTCTGCCTTTCAAATAAATAAATAAATAAATACTCCTTTTAAGAGAGAGAGAGAGAGAGATGTTTCAACCACTGGTTCACTCCCCAGATGGCCACAACAACAGCCCAGAGCTGGGCCAGGCTGAAGCAGGCGCCTGGGGCTTCCTCCGGGTCTCCCACGAGGGTGCAGGGGCCCACGCACTTGGGCCGTCTTCCACTGCCTTCCCGGGCGCATTAGCAGGAAGCTGGACTGGAAGTGGAGCCGCTGGGACTTGAACCAGCGCTCTGGCATGGATGCTTGTGTTTAAGGGGTGGCTTAGCCTGCTGAGCCACAAGGCCTGCTCCAACTTTCCACAGACAGGAAGCAGCTGAGAAAGCTACCGGCAAAGGATGGGTGACTCAGCAGAGCCGAGAGCCCGGGGAGTGGGGCTGGGCGCAGGGAGGCTGAGCTCCGCTCGCCGCACGGCAGGAATCGGCAGCATCTGGAGCCGCGACTGCGCGTGGGGCTGTGGCCGCTGTGGCTCCCACTGCTGTGCCACGGGCACCACGTCCACCACACGATCCTGGCGCCACAGGACGGAGCCCTCGGGGGTCCTGGCCAGGCCTCGTGGGGCACTGCGGCTGGTTCCTGAGGCTGCCCCGGCGGGGCCCCTCACCCCTCTTGCTTTCTCCTTCGCTGCCCCCTTTCCCCACAGCCGGGCCAGCTGCCCCCAAGTCCCCACCGCTGCCCTGGGAACGCCTTTGCTTTCTCCCATTTGAGTCCTCGGTCGGTCCTGGGTCCGCTCCCTCGCTCTCCGCTTGTGGCTTGTCCTGGTGGACGCCCCTAAGGGGACGCCTCAGGTTAGGAGGAGGCCGGGAGGTTGGGGTCTGGGCGTCCCTCCCTCCCAGGACCGTCAGTCCCTGGCATCCCTCAGTGCGGGGTGCAGGGGCGGCGCAGGCGTCTGGCGAGACCTATCTACCGGGACTGCGGTGGCGACTGCTCCTCGCGGCCAGGGCCCCTCCCCCCGTTGTTACCAAACAGTCCTGTGGCCCCGTGGGAGGCCACGTGACCAGCCCGAGCGAATCAGGGCAGGGAGGAGCCCCGGTCCTCCTAGTGGGAACTCCTCCAGGAAGAGCAGCCGGCGCCCGCGTGCCTGGCACACGGAGTCACCACCACCAAGGCAGGCTGCAGCCTGCCACCTGCCCTTGAAGGAAACGCACAGGTTTGTGGCCCAGCCGCTCCTGGGCTGTTTGGAGACGAGCGTTTCCAAGGTGGTTACGGTTCCACTGTCGAAGCACTTCTCCTGGCCGATCCCCGGGCAGGGTGGCGCGCAGGGGCGCGGAGTCCGTCTTGTACTCTGCAGGACCGGGTTGAGATGCTGGGGACACAGGAATGGGCACAAAACACACACCTCTGCAGACTTGGAGCTGGCATCGCCGTGAGCCGGGCCAGACGGGCAGCCCCTGGCGGGGAGGTGAGGAAGCCCCAGGGACCTGCCAGCAGAGGGGATGGTGTAGCCGCTGCTGGCGGCCCCGGCGCCGGTGACAAAGTCTGTCCGTACCGGCCGAGGCCAAACGGCCATGGCCGACCTCCTCAGGAAGTAAAAACGTCTTCCACAGATGAGCTGTCTTTCCTCTGCCCTGCTAATTAAAAATAATAATAATAATTTATTTGAGGGGCCAGCGCTGTGGTGTGATGTGTTAAAGCCCTGCCTGAAGCGCCAGCATCCCATATGGGTGCTGGTTCTAGTCCCACCTGCTCCTCTTCTCATCCAGCTCTCTGCTGTGGCCTGGGAAAGCATTAGAAAGTGGCCCAAGCCCTCGGGCCCCTGCACCCACATGGGAGACCCAGAAGAAGCTCCTGGCTCCTGGCTTTGGATCAGCGCAGCTCCGGCTGTTGTGGCCATCTGGGGAGTGAACCAGCGGATGGAAGACCTCTCTCTCTGTAACTCTGTCTTTCAAATAAATAAAATAATTTTTTTAAATAATTTATTTGGAAGGCAGAGTTACAGGGAGAGGGGAGACAGACACAGAGAGATCTTCCACCCACTGGTTCACTCCCCTGATGGCCGCAACAGTAGGGTCTGGGCCAGGCCAAAGCCATCTGGGCCTCCCACGTGGGTGAGGGGCCAGGCACTGGGCCGTCCTCCGCTGCCCTCCCAGGCCACAGCAGGGAGCTGCGTCAGTGGAGTGGCTGGGGCTGGGACCACGAGTGGGTGGGGGCGTCACAGGCAGCAGCTTCGCCCCCTGTGCCCCCACACAGGCCCCTCCCGCGTAATTGATTTTTACAAACAGAGCCGGGTCACTAACACTTTGCGCCAAAATGCTTTTCCATATTTAGGACTGGAGAGGCTTCCCGTGGGGGTTCCCGGAGTTGAGGCCACAGACTGGCGGACTGCACGAGGGGCCGGTGCTGGGCCCACCGGGGGCTGCCCCCTGGGCCCAGCCGCTAGCCTCCCCCAACCTGTTCCCTCCCGGGCCACTGGTCTGTGAACTTCTCCGCCCCATCTGCAGGGCCGGGCTGTCTTCCTGATCCAGTAGCGTTTTAGGCCACATTTCCTGCAGAATTTCTTCCTATTTTATTTTTAATTGATTTGAGAGAAAGAGAGAGCTCCCCGTCGCTGGTTCACTCCCCCAATACCTCCAACGACTGGGCCAAAGCCCGGAGCTGGGCGTCCCTCCAGGTCTGGCAGGCGGGTGGCAGGAACCCCACTGCCTGAGCCGCCATCCCGGCTCCCAGGGCCTGGAGGGGCAGAAAGCCGGAGGCAGGAGCGGAGCCAGGTGCCGAGCCCCGGCCATTCGCCCCGTCCAGCCCTCGGGGGCCGCCCTTCGCCTGCCGCCAGCCCTCGCGGGACCCCCCCCCCCCTCCGCCGACCGGACCCCAGCCGGGGGGCGGGGCCTGGGCCGGGACGCCCCGCCCCCTCCGGGTCCCCGCCGCCCCTCGCTGCTCTCCGCGGCCGCCAGGGGGCAGGACGGCGCGCCCCGAGCGTCCGGCAACCGGAGTAGCGTGCGCCCACCTGGGCTCTGTGGGGGCTGCAGGTCCCGCGCCCCGACCCCGACTCTGACGTCAGTCCCGTGTCCCAAATAACTTCTTCCCGCAGCCGGAGCTGCTTCCGCGCGGCCGCGCCCAGGGCCTTCCCGGAACCGGCTTCCGCCCCGCCCGCCCCGGCTCAGCGGGGCTCGGGTCCACCTGGGCGCGCGGTCGGAGGGCCGGGGTCTTCTGCTGGACGAGGGCTGCGAGGCGCCGGGGCCTGCGGGACCCTCGGCCCCGCCCGACGCCCCCCAGGGTCTAGGTCACTGAAACCAGGCGCGAGCAGGCGCTGTGGGCACTCAGCGAAGGACCCCGCGCGCGGCCCTGCGGGGGTACCTGCGTCCTGGCACCAGCCTCCCGGCAGTGTGGGGGTTCAGGGCCAGGTCACCGAGGAGCTGGGGTTCTGGGGAGCCTCCTTCCCACTGGAAAGGAGCTGGGCAGGCCGGGCTGACGGGTTGGGCGGCATAGCCGAGCCGACACCCACCTCCGGGATAAAACCCACTTCATGGAGCCCTGCACCTCGCCAGTGCTTCCCAAGCCGCCGCCGCCGCCCCCGACCCGGTGCCCCCAGCTAGGCCCATGGACATGAGGCAGCCCCCGGCCACGGCGCTGCTCCTGCTGCTGCTGCTGTTCGGTGAGTCCCGGCCGAGGCAGGTGCAGGAGCTGCCGGCGCCTCCCTGGAGGGGCCCCTCCTCCCTGGACCAGGCTCCTGGCTGCAGGTGGTGGGGTCCCCAGGGCAGGGAGGAAGGGTCACGTGTCCCACCTGGTGGCCCAGCCTGGGGAGGGCGCAGGCCTGAGAGGACCCCGCGGCACAGAACTCAGCATCACAGCCAAGCTTGGGGCCCAGACTCCTCAATGGTCTCATCACACCTGCTGCCAGCTCCCGGACCCAAACCCAGGGCTCCGAGGGCGCAGGCTGTGAACCTGGCCTGGGCTCTGGACACCTGGACGGCAGTCAGCTGGGCCAGGGATACACCCGGGAGCCCTGAGGGGCTGGTGGGGCCCAGCAGAGCAAAGGGCGAGGGGTGCAGGCTACAGGGGCCTAGCCCAGGGACAGCAGGTGCCCGGCCCCTCCCTGCAAAGCAGGTGCCCTCTGCCAGGGACGCCCTCCCGCATTCCTGGGCCAGCCTGGCCAGCCTGGCAGCCACTGCACTTCCCTGTCCTCAGGGCACCTCCCAGGGCCGGGCCAGGTCACCCTCGGCCGGGGCCGGGCCAGGGCTGCAGGCTTCCTCATTCTCCATCTGGGAGGTAGGCGGGTGCAGGGCCCCAGCCCCGCGCGGCTGTCCCTGGCCGGCTTCCCACAGGTCCCTGCCACAGTGCCCAGGGTGACCTGCTTGGGGCCACAGATGGCCGTGAGCAGAGCCTGGACTGCCGGAGGCCACGCTCACCACCTCCCAGGGAGGCCCAGCCCCGGCTGCTCCCGCCTAGAACCTGAGGCTTAGCCAGGGCCAGCCTCCGACAGGAAGTCTCCCCGGGGTCCCAGCTCTGCACGCCCATCGGGATCAGCCCACAGCCCTGCGCACGCCGTCCCCCACACACTCCCTGACCTTGGGCGCCAGGTCTTTAAACAGCGCCCGGCCTGTGAGGTGGACCGGGCTCAGGAGGGACGAGGAGGCACCCAAGGTGGACGTGCCAGCCGGGAGGACTTCCCAGGGGTGACAACATTGCCATCAGGCCTTGATCTGGATTAGGGTCTGAGACTGGAGCAAAGGGTATGCAGGCACACGTGTGTGTGCCGTGTCCTGTGTTTGTGCTGTGTGTAGTTACGTGCATGTGGTATGTGCTGTGTGCCATGTATTTAGTGCGTGTAGGTGTTGTGTGCTGTGCATGTAGCACGTGTGCAGTGTGTACCATGTGCTGTGTCTAGTATGTATAGGTGGTGTGTGCCATGCATGTAGTGTGCATGGTATGTAGCATGTAGGTGGTGTGTGCTGTGCATGTAGCATGTGTGCAGTATGTACCATGTGCTGTGTGCCATGTTGTGTTTAGTATGTGTAGCTGGTGTGTGCCATCTATGTAGCATGTAGGTGATGCGTGGCATGTAAGTGGTGTGTGCCATGTGTGTAGTGTTGTACAGTGTTCTGTGTGCTATGTGTCTAGTCTATATAGGTGGTGTGTGCCCTGTGTGTACTGTATGTGTAGGTGGTGTGTGCTGTGTAGCACGTGTGCAGTGTTCCGTGTGCTGTGTGCCATGTGTCTAGTATATACAGGTGCTGTGTGCCCTGTGTGTACTATATGTGTAGGTGGTGTGTGCTGTGTAGCACGTGTGCAGTGTGTACCGTGTGCTGTGTGCCATGTGTTTAGTATATAGAGGTGGTGTGTGCCCTGTGTGTACTGTATGTGTAGGTGGTGTGTGCTGTGTAGCATGTGTGCAGTGTGTACCGTGTGCAGTGTGCCATGTGTTTAGTATGTGTAGGTGGTGTGTGCCCTGTGTGTACTGTATGTGTAGGTGGTGTGTGCTGTGTAGCACGTGTGCAGTGTGTACCGTGTGCCCTGTGTGTGTAGGTGGTGTGTGCTGTGTAGCACGTGTGCAGTGTTCCGTGTGCTGTGTGCCATGTGTTTAGTATATATAGGTGGTGTGTGCCCTGTGTGTACTGTATGTGTAGGTGGCGTGTAGCATGTGTGCAGTGTGTACCGTGTGCTGTGTGCCCTGTGTGTACTGTATGTGTAGGTGGCGTGTGCTGTGTGTGTAGCATGTGTGCAGTGTGTTCCGTGTGCTGTGTGCCATGTGTTTAGTATATACAGGTGGTGTGTGCTGTGTGTACTGTATGTGTAGGTGGCGTGTAGCACGTGTGCAGTGTGTACCATGTGCTGTGTGCCCTGTGTGGGAACAGGAGCTGCATTTGCAAGCAGCCCAGGTCACGGGTGCGACTGAGCGGGGCTGCAGGACACTGGCCCAGGTGGCGCCGGGAAGAGCCTCCTGTCACCCGACCACCGATGCAGTCCTGGGCAAGCCCTGAGCCTTCTCAGCCTCCTCTTCCTGCCCCCACCTCACTAACCCCCCCATCCTCCCCCAGGTGGCTCTGGGAGCTGTCCCTGGGCCCGGATGTCCGGCAGGGAGGATCTCAGGGTCCCTGGGCCCCACGGCGGTGCACGGCTCAGCCTGGACCCTGCCAACTCCCCCAAAGCTTCCAGTCAGGGGTGTGGGAGGGGTGAGGAGGCAGAGGCCTGCAGGGCCGGGGAGGGAGTCGCCTGCCCCAAGCCCCCTCCCCAGGAGTCTGCCCACCCACCTGTCCTAGCAGACCAACTCCTGCCCACGGGCCTGGGCCTGTGGACGTTGCAGAGCCAGGCCCGGGGGAGCCGGTGGTCACTGGCCTCTCCTGCCAGGAGGCAGAGGCCGGGGTGGGGAGCTGCACTGACCAGCAGGGTGGGAGAGAATGGCAGCTCTGGGCTTCGGCATGATTCCCTGATCAACCCTCTCCCTCCCAGGGACTCAGGAGGCCAAGGCATCCAGAGGTAAGCTGGGCCCTGGGCAGGGTGGGGACAGCTCAGCTTCCGAGCTGCAGGACTGGCCGAGAGCCAGAGGGGACGCGCAGGTCACCAGGGAAGCCAGGGAGGAGCTGGGAGAAGCAGGGAGGGCAGGGTCTGAGCCCGTCCCCCATTCAGTGACAGTGCCCCCGGGGTCAACTCTCTCATGGGGGGGCCTGACACAGCAGCCACCCTCCCCAGGAGCCCTCCTGTGCCAGGGCCTGCATTGGACACTGACCCCGGGCCCAGGCCTCCGCGCTCTCAGGTGCGGGAGCCCAGGCACGGAGTAGGAAGTGGGAGCCGGTGTGTGCGGCCAGGCCTCAGCGAGCGCCCCCCACTGTGTTCCTCCAGCCTGTGGGCGCCCCAGGATGCTGAACAGGATGGTGGGCGGCCAGGACGCCCTGGCGGGCGAGTGGCCCTGGCAGGTCAGCATCCAGCGCAACGGGAGCCACTTCTGCGGCGGCAGCCTCATCTCAGAGCAGTGGGTCCTGACGGCCGCGCACTGCTTCCCCGAGTGAGTCGGCCCGGTCAGCACCGTGGACAGCGCCCGCAGGCAGACCGACCTGCGGGCAGCCTGCCCGGCCAGAGCCTCCCCTGGGCAGTTCCGGCTGCCGTCACTGCTCCTGCCAGCCAGGAGGGGCCCGCCTCGGCCCTGCCCTGCTCACGCCGTGGGCTCCTGCCACGCACGCCTCCAAGTAGCAGCTCCGTGCTGTTAGGAGCTTGGAGGTCACCCACCACGGGTTCTGAGCCACGTGGCCTGAGGCCCTCTTGCCTCACCACAGCTGGGTTCTTTCAAATCCCACCCCTCATGTCCACAAGAACTCCCTTCTCCCCGCAGGCCTGTGGGGGTGGGAGGCGTTACTGTTCCATTTCACAGATGACAAAACTGAGTCACAGAGAACGTGCTGGGGGACTTGCCTGGGAGGGGCTGGGCACTGAAGGCAGGTAGTCAGGCCTTCCACACCCCTAGGAGTGGCCCCGGGCCAGGGAGCACACACCCCTCCCCCCTCTGCACGGAGCTGGGCCCCCCCCAGGCCAACCCTCTGCCTTCTCCCACCAGCACCTCGGACACATCCCTCTACTGGGTGCTGCTGGGTGCACGGCAGCTAGTGCGGCCGGGGCCCCATGCCCAGTACGCCCGGGTGCGGCGGGTGGAGAGCAACCCCCTGTACCAGGGCATGGCCTCCAGTGCCGACCTGGCCCTCGTGGAGCTGGCGGAGCCCGTGACCTTCACCAACTACATCCTCCCCGTGTGTGTGCCCGACTCCTCGGTGGTCTTTGAGACGGGGACGAACTGCTGGGTCACCGGCTGGGGCAGCCCCAGTGAGCAAGGTAAGGGGACAGGGTCAGCAGAGGACGGGGGGCACGCCCAAGTCCCAGCAGCTCAGGGGCTGTGTGCTGACCAATTACGTCTCTCAGTCGACGTCGGCACGCGCGGCGGGGCACGGGCCATGGGGACCCAGCCTGGCGCTCGGGAGGCGGGAAGAAGGGATTTGGTCCCACGAAGCCCCGAGCCAGAAGAGGTCGGGACACGCACACCCTGGCCGGGACAGAGCCATGGCTCTGTGGCCGAGCTGTGCTGGCTGCAGGCCGCTCCGCCCTCCCCCAGACCGCCTGCCCAACCCCCGGGTCCTGCAGAAGCTTGCGGTGCCCATCATCGACACCCCCAAGTGCAACCTGCTGTACAGCAAGGACGCCGAGGCTGGCTTCCAGCCCAAGACCATCGAGGCCGACATGCTTTGTGCCGGCTTTGCCGAGGGGAAGAAGGACGCCTGCAAGGTAGGCTGGGCACGGCCGGCGGGGAGCCCGGTCCTGACCCAGGGCCCCGGTGTGCGGGCGCTGCACTCTGCCAGGGATCTGGCTTGAAAAGGCACAGCCCCAGCGGCTGGTGGGCTGGGGTGGGGGTGGGCAGCCTGGCCCCGCCGAGAAGAGGGGCCAGCGTGAGCGAGGGGCCGGGCGGGTCGGCAGGGGGTGGGGGTGGGCAGCCTGGCCCCGCCGAGAAGAGGGGCCAGCGTGAGCGGGGGGCCGGGCGGGTCGGCAGGGGGTGGGGGTGGGCAGCCTGGCCCCGCCGAGAAGAGGGGCCAGCGTGAGCGGGGGGCCGGGCGGGTCGGCAGGGGGTGGGGGTGGGCAGCCTGGCCCCGCCGAGAAGAGGGGCCAGCGTGAGCAGGGGGCCGGGCGGGTCGGCAGGGGGTGGGGGTGGGCAGCCTGGCCCCGCCAAGAGGGGCCAGCGTGAGCGGGGGGCCGGGCGGGTCGGCAGGGGGTGGGGGTGGGCAGCCTGACCCCATCGAGAAGAGGGGCCAGCGTGAGCGGGGTGCCGGGCGGGGCAGCAAGGAGTGCAGACGAGGCACCTGCAGCAGCCAGCTGTGGGTCACCTGGGCTCCGGGGACTGACGGGGCCCTGCTCCCCACTCTCCCCCAACAGGGCGACTCAGGAGGCCCCCTGGTGTGCCTCGTGGGCCAGTCGTGGCTGCAGGCCGGGGTTATCAGCTGGGGCGAGGGCTGCGCCCGCCGGAACCGCCCAGGCGTCTACGTGCGGGTCACTTCCCACCACGCCTGGATCCGTCGGATCATTCCGGATCTGCAGTTCCAGCCGGCGAGGTCGGGCGGCCAGAAGGGAGACCGCCGGGGCCAGCAGCCTGCGGGCCGGAACGTCGCGCCCTGCCTGGCGGCCCACGCAGTCCTGCTGGGCCTCACGGCACTGCTGGCCGCCCTCTGAGCCGCCCAGGCTGGGGCCAGGCCCATGGTGTATGTTTGTACATAGCTCCTGCCCTCCCCTCTCCCAGACCGTTCTTTTTATTTATGTCCACCTCCAGTATAAAGCCCAGCTCAGGATCAGCGGCCGGCTGCGACCCTTGGGAGATCTGGGGGGTGGCGGCTGAGGCTCAGGGTGGGGGAAGGCGCCATGGCGGGGGCAGGGAACTGTGGAGGCACATCCAGGCCAGGCCATCACCACCCCAGATCCCTGCTGCCACCCCATGCTGGCATGGCCACAGACAAGCCCCACACAGGAGGCAGCAGGGCTGTGCATGGCCGTGGGTCAGGGGCACGGCCTCCTCTGCAGGTCCCCCCACTCGCCCCAGACTCCTCTACAAAGCACAGGAACCACCCTGCACACAGTCCGTGCTGTGCTGGGGCCTCAGCCCCAGCCAGGAGCAGCACCCCAGGGAGTCCACAGCAGCGTGGGGGTCTGGGCATGCAGGCACTGGTATCACCCATGCCCACGTGTGAGCATGCACAGGCCAGGGAGATGCAGGCACCTGCTGGGACCGCTGGGGACAGCAAGGAGGGGACACTGGGTCCTCTCCACTCCCTGCCCCTGGTGCTCTCTGCCTTTTCAGGACCAGCCCTATCCCAGGGACCTTCCCCAGGCCAGGTCGTGGGTCCTGAGGGCTGTCCCAGGAAAAGCTCCAGGCCACCCTGACAGGCACTGGACAGCCCTGTGCCTTCCGAAGGCTGGCCTGTCACCCGTGTGGTGGGAAGCCAGGACGAAGCTGCTCCTGGAGACCGCAGGGACTGGGCCTTGCTCTTGGTGGGAGGCCTTTCTACAGGGCACAGGTCTGCTGAGGGTCCACTGGGGTCACCAGGGAAGGGGGTGCCCAGGTACACACAGGGCTCATCCAGCACGGGAGGCCTCCCCGGCAGTGACACTGGCTGCTGTCACAGCGCAGGGCCGCAGGGCACATGGCCCCACCCCAGCCCCAGGACAGACACTGAACAAGCAGACAAGAGGAGCGTTCCCCCCAGACAAGCATGTAAAGGGAGACCGGCTTGTCCCGAGCAGCTGTCAGTTCACGCGGAGCTCAGTGTGGGGAGGGTGAAGACGGCCAAGGTGGCCAGGCTCCCTCTCCCGCCCCGGCCGAGGACGCAGCTCAGAGCCATCTGCCAGGGGGACGGGGCAAGGTCTCAGGACCGAATGGCCCTTACCTGATGCCATGGCACGCCCCAGGTGCTCAAAGGTGAGACAGGTGGGAGGTGTGAGAAGAGGAGCCCCCAAACCCAGGGACCCCCCACTGCCCTGTGCGGTGGTGAGCCAGCACTGCCGTCTGTGGTTTCTTTCTGCCCAGAGGTGCTGGGTGGCCTGTTCCCATCATGGATGCCCACCCATGTGCTGACAGCCAGCGCCTTGGCACCCTGGAAACAGAGGGGCACTGGGCACCAGTCAGCCCCTGCCCCCACCTCTGTGAGCCCCTGCTGGTGGGAAGGGGAGAGAGGCTCCTGTGGCCCCCTGGGAGGTTCCAGCCATGGGTTCTGCACAAAGCCCAGCAGCTGGGGGCCCACGTGGGGAACCTGCTCTGCTCGAGCCCTGTCTGGGAGCCAAGAGCCGCTCTGACGCCGCACCCGGCCCCTCCCCAGACACCGCAGAGCACAGGTCTGCTGGAGCTCACGGGCAGGCAGGGCTCCTTGTGGGCCTCAGCCTCAGGGTCTGGACTGGACGCTGACTCCCTCCCGATCTTTGCAGACAGAAGGGCTACGGGCTTGGCCAGGGGCACCACATGGAGGCCTCTGCGTGCCTGCAACTCTGCTTGGCCAAGGAACCCGAGACGCATCTAAGCCCCTGGCTGGCACTAGGCAGCTGAAGACCCTGTTCCTTTGGAGCAGAACAGAATCTGGGGTCCCCCCTCCGTGCCCCAGGCTGAGCACGGTCCCTGCACGGGCAGCTCCCACTGGCTCTGAGCCCACACCAGGGCCCTGGGGCCACACCTGGAAGCCGCGGGGACAAGGCAGGGAGCCAGGGGCTGGGCTTCCACAGAGCAGCAGCCGGGGGGGCCCGAGCCGGGGCACTGCCCTGAGTTCAAGGCAGGCGCTTCGGGCCAAGGCAGAGGCCTGAGAGGCAGACAGTGACTCTTTATGAGGTCTCCTGCCTCCAGGAGAGGGAGTGTGATGGCAGCAGGAGGCTGGCAGGTGTCCATGGGGACTGCCCAGAGCGGCAGGGGGCATGGGAGCTCTAATTCACCAGGCCCCCAGCCCCTGCTGGACACACAAGGACACTGGCTCCATCCCGGCCCCTGTCCAAGCTAAGAGGCGGTCCCAAACAAGCAGCAGCCCCAGGCCAGGCAGGGCCTCTCCGTGCAGTGGACGCCACCAACAGCCGCGGTGCTCTTTCATAAATACACAATTTATTTGCTATTTTCAGGGGAAACTTAGGCATTAAACGGTAAGCTGATAAAATACGGATACCTAAAAAAGTACAAAAGTATAAATATCCCCTTAGAATAAATTTTAGTGAATTAAGTCTTAATGTCTTTAAATTAAAAAAAAAAAAAAAAAAAAACACCACCACAAGCCTATTATCTATTATGTCAGGGTCACAAATCAAACAATGCTAGGCAGCCAGCATCTCCAGGCAGGACGCCCCCCCCACCAGGGCCAGCTTCCTCCCGGGGCTCCCCCGGCAGGACGCGGCCAGACAGGGGTCTAGTCCACCCTCTAAAAGACCATTATAAATGGTTAAAGCCAAACATTCAACACCATTCAAGAGACCTTAGAACGGGAGCAGGTCAGTCCCAGATGCTGGAGACGTGGGGCGAGGCTGCTGGCAAAGGAGTGGGGGGCAGGCTCCAGGGCGGGGTCCGCGCTCCCACCTGCCCAGGGCCAGGGTGCACAGCCCGCCGGGAGCCGCGGGCGAGCAGCAGAGCGAGCCGGGGGAGGGCTGTCTTCAAAGCACACGGAGCAGCCTGCAGAGTCCCAGCGGCTGCACCGGCACGTCGGGTGGGCGGAGCCCGTGCGGGCTGTGTGAAGTCGCGAACGTCCCAGAAACATGAGAACTGCATAGTTACACCAAGAAACGAGAGTGGGCGCGAGACGGGGACGCGCTGTAAACGTGACCGGAGCCCCGGCTCCAGCAGCCCCCCAGCCTCCCTCCCAGGCGACAAAGGCACTGGCGGGCGCCGGCTCCCCCGGAGCCCACGGGTGGGGCGGCCAGGCCAAACTCCCGCCTCCCATCCCAGCGCTCCACACATCAGTCCACAAGGGGCCACAGCCTCAGGCATCTCTGAAGAGCACAAACCCTGGGCGGTCTGTCCACAGCTGCAAAGAAGGGATGCCGAGTTCTCCCGCCGGGGAAACTCAACTGAGAAGCCTGGGGCCGCTCGGGCCTGGCTGGGGGAGCCGGGCGCAGGGCGCACACCCAGAAGCAGTGACGATACGGAGGCCACCTCCTGTCAGGAGTCTCTGCCGAGGTGGAGACGGATGGCGCCGGGACGAGCCCCAGCGCCCCAGCAGTGCGAGCCGGCACCCAGACCCCCACGGCCGCCACCACGTCCTGCCGCGAGGCCCAGGCTGTTTACCCAGACTGTGTGTAGCACCAAGAACGCCGTCCTCGACAGGGTCTCCAGGGTCACACGGCTGGTCAGGAGCACTCTGCCTCAGTGCCACCCGGCACGTGGACCAGAGCGAGGCCCCAGCAGACGGCCACCGTGCCTCCTCCCTGCGGTGAGGCCCGGCCTTGGACAGCTGGGCCGTCTCTCACCACCCACCTCAGAGGCAAAAAAGGATTCACACCCAGATCTCTAGAAAAATGATCAAAAGCAGATTTCTTCTCACGGCCAAGCTTCCTGGACATGGCGGCTCGCTGCGTCTTGGGAAAAAGGAAATCATGTCTTCAGCTGTCAATGCAGAGTCTCACATCCTTGAACCTCGTTCTTGCAAAATCTGAAAAACACCAAATGCACAGAATGAGGACTCCGGTGCTGGACAGGAGGCCCTGACCAAACGCCTGGCCCCAGAGACAAAGGCACAGCCCTGAGGGCCCCAGCTGCAGGCCGGGGTCCAAGGACAGGGCCCAGCTGCAGGGCCCAGGCAGGGTGTTGTTTCCCACTCCAGCCCCATCCGAGGCCCAGCAGAGCAGCCACCAGCCCTGCCAGGCTCCCACGCAGCACCGTCCGGCCTCTGTTCCCTGGGACCTCCCGGTGAGGCCCAGGATCCCACTCTCCTCCCCGAGTCCCCCACCTTGTCCTGCTGCTCTCCCCGGGTGGTAGGGCCCACTGGCAGGCGCCAGCCCCAGAATTTCTCAGATAGGCAGGTGCAGCTGGGGCCTAGAGGGCCAGCCATAGTCCTCAGCTGCCCCAGGTCCTGCACCTCCGCCAGTCCCTCCCCACTGTAGCCAGCATGGACTCAGATCCTCGCCAGTGCCGCCCCTTGGCCACTGTGCCCACCCTGCTCTGGAGTCCACCCTCAGGGCACCCTCCCTGGCACTCCCCAGAATCACCTGTGCACCCCCAGACAAACCCTGGCAAACCACTAAGCTGAGCCCCAGTGAGCCTGGGGCAGCCCGAGGGCCAGGCGACAGCTCTGCCTCTCCTGGCTGGGAGCCTGGGGCTGGCAGGTCTCTCTGGGGTCATCCAGCAGTGACCTCCATGACCCTGCACACGGGCTGCCCAGCACCAGGTGAGGGCCTGCCACTGGCCGGTGAGGGCACCGCGGTGGGCACCCTGCCCAAGGCCCCTTGCTGGTGGGGGAGAGCTGGCCCTGAGGCTGTTCAGTTGCCCATGGGACAGCCACGTTCACCGGAGTCCCCCGTCCACAGGCAGAGCCGCCCACAGCACCTGCCCACAATGCAGGGTTTCAGGAGGCCTCTCCAGGCGGGGTCCTGTGACCGCTGAGCTGTGGGCCAGCAGCGTAGGGAGGGGGTCACAGGCAGAGCTAAGTCGTGGAGCTGTCACAGACCCAGCTCCATGTCCATCCTGGGGGAGCGAGAGCGTGGCGACCTCTCCTGATAGCATTCTCCTCTGTCCCAGAGGCTGGGCAGCACCGCTGGCCCCAGACCAAGCTTGGGGTGTGTGCCATCCAGGCACCTGCCACAGGGAGGCCTGGATCCAACCAGAGACCAGCTGAAGGGCCGGCACCTGCCACAGGGAGGCCTGGATCCAACCAGGGACCAGCTGAAGGGCCGGCAAGGCCACCACCCAGGAAGTCCAGAGCTGCCCTTGTGAACACGGTGACACGGTGTTGCCGATCTCCCTCAGCCCAGACCCCATCACGGGGGCCGGGGGTGGGGGGGCCTGAATCCAACCAGAGACTAGCTGAAGGGCCGGCACCTGCCACAGGGAGGCCTGGATCCAACCAGGGACCAGCTGAAGGGCCGGCAAGGCCACCACCCGGGAAGTCCAGAGCTGCCCTTGTGAACACGGTGTCGCTGATCTCCCTCAGCCCAGACCCCATCACGGGGGCGGGGGGGGGGGGGCCCAGGTGGCACCTTCTGGCCCAGCTCCTGGCATCTGCAGCTGAGCACCCCACCCCGGTGGCAGGTGTGGCTCTCCTGTATCCCCAGGGATCCCACAAGGCTCTGGGTGGGGTCCGCTCACAGCCCACCTGGCTGCAGAGCCTGTCCAGGCGGTCCTGACCAAGGTGGCCAGGAAACCAACCCCACGCCCGAGTCGGGCCTCAGGGGAAGGGAGGGGCAGGCGGCTGGGTGTCAGCTGTGCCCTGCGTGCACAGGGTGAAGGCTGCGGGATCAGGCTCCACCTTTCTTTTACACTGCAACACAGCTGCTGGGGAATTTAAGAGGCCAATGGAGCTCTTCCGCACTTTGTTTCTAGGATCAGGTATTAGGTACTTTAGGCTTTGCGGGTCAAGAGGCAAAACTGAAGGTGTTAACAGAATCAGCAGAACAACCGACCAGCAAACAAGCAAAGCCACTCCGCGCAGGTGTGGACAAACAGGCAGCTGGCCCCCAGGCCACGCAGCCTGCGGTGCCAGCTCCTCCCTGCTCTTTGCTGGCCGGGTGCCTCCTGTTCCCCTCTAAGCTGGGCGCTCCTCCCAGGGCAGAGGCGGGGCTCCCACCCCAGAAGACTGCAAGTGCACCTGCGGTGGCCTGGCCACTTCCTCACGAGGGCTGGCCAGGCGACCCCAGCTACCACAGACACGGCCAGGTTCTAGCACAGACAACCTGAGCCCTGGGCCAGCTGAGGCAGGGACTGAGGGATGCTGGAAGCTGAGGGGCCGTCTGGCAGGACAGTTGGAAGGAGGCCCCAGCCTGCCGAAAGCAGAGCAGGGCTCTGGTGCCCAAGATCGGGCCCAGCATCTGCTGCACGGCCCTGACCACCGCTGAGCCCGCAGCCTACCCACAGTGGACACGGGGAGCGCTCGAGTGCGCACCATGCCTGGCCCCGGGAGCTGCCCGCACGTCCACCTGCTGGACGCTCTGGGACACTCGTGCAAGTGCCCCACACTCCTGCCTGTGGCATCTGTGGAGGGGACCTGATGCGCAGCAGTGCCCTGCCCTCCGGGGACCCACAGCTGGCACTGAGCACACAGGCCTCTCATCAACCATGGACACAGGATGGACGGACACATGGGGAAGGCCGAGGGTGGGGCCAACTAAGGTCACAGGGTCAAGGAGGCTAAGGTCGCGGGGTCGAGGAGATGAAGGTGCGTGGGTCAATCTCAAGGCTGAGAGCTCACCATGACCTTTACACTTAATCTGAGGCATTCCCTTGGTGCCCCGTCTCCTCGTCGTCACTCTGGCCGGAGTGCAGGTGCAGCGAGGGGAGAAGAAGACATGGCCGTCAGCCTCGTGCAGGCGTGAGGGACGCCCACAGGGTCACCCGGGAAGGAAAACACGGGCTGGGGGACGCTCTGATTACCTCCTAAAGGCGTGGGGCCCCCGTGGCAGGCAGCCTGATCTACAGTTCCCGAGCTGGTCCCACCCAAAAGGGGCCCAGCCTCTGCCTGGGCTCCTGGGATGCAACCTCTGGGCACCTGAGCGGGCCTCCCTGACGTGCTGCCGCACAGAGCCAGGACGGAGAGCCGGCCTCCGTGCAGAGGAGCCTCCTGGCCCCTGCACCTGTGCCCGCCACGCTCACCGCTAGCCACCTTCACCGCTATGGAATAACCAGGGACCCTGCAGCACCACTGCCCGGGGGCCCGAGTCCTCACAGCAAGTGCTGGAGTGCCGCGAGGCAGGCCCGGGAGCACCCACCGCACCCACTGCAGCTGCGGGGGCCTCGA